TAATTCATTCCGACATATGTGAATTAAATGGGACGTTAACTAGAGAAGGTAATAGATACTTCATAACATTCATAAATGATCATACTAGGTTTTGTTATATCTATTTGGTGAAACATAAGGATTAACCCTTTAACATGTTTAAGATATACAAAGTTGAAGTAGAAAATCAATTAAATAGAAAGATTAAAATTCTTTGAAGTAATAGGGGAGTTGAATATTTCTCTACTGAATTTAATCTTTTTGTGAACAACAAGACATAATACATCAATGTAGTGTACCCAGAATGCTCGAACAAAATTGATTGGCTGAGAGAACGAATAGGACACTAGTTGAAATAATAAATGCTAAGTTTTTTAAATGGTCAATTGCCATCTCACTTATGGGGTAAAGTTTTATTAAGTGTGTGTCACATAGTTAATAGGATTATTTTTAAAAGATGATTTTTCCATATGTATTGTGGAAAGTGATAAAACCAAACATTGATTATTTCAAAATATGGAAGTATCTTGCTTATATAGTAAGAACACGGATCCTGAAAGGACTAAGTTGAGTCCTAAGGGAATCAAATGCGCTTTTGTAGGATATGTCCAAAATAGTAAGGCATATCGTTTATTAAATTTGGAAACCAATGTCATTATTGAGTCCCTTGAAGTAGAGTTCTTTGAGAATATGTTATCTACAGAATAATAATTCTCTAAGGAAACCTCAAATGGAGATTCTTAGTTCCACCTTTTGAGGATGATGAAACAAGTGAACTTTCCAGAAGTAAAAGAGCATGAAAGGAGAAAGTGCTAAGACCAGATGAACTAGACTCTTTTAGCTCATGTCTTTCTACTTAGTTGAGGAAAATGACAATAGTGTCTCACAAGAACTACTTTGTTCTTCAAGTGGAAACCATCCTAAAATTTATCAAAAAACAATGTCATCTAGAGATAGCGCATTTTGGAAGGATGCTCTAATTGATGAAATTAATTCAATAATGTCAAGTAACACTTGAAAATTAGTTGATTTACCACTTAGATGAAAACCTATAAGTTGTAAATGGGTATTTAGGAGGAAGTACAATATGGATGGTACTCTTAATACCTTTAAAGCTAGGTTAGTGGCCAAAGGGTATCGACAAAAAGAATGAATAGATTATTTTGACACATGTATTAGTTGCACGATTAACATCAATTAAGATTATATTCACTTTAGTTTCAATATATAATTTGCATACATTAAATGGATGTTAAAACAACATTATTAAATAGGGATCTCGATAAGGAGGTTTATAATAACAACTAGAAGAATTAGATCTATCTAAAAATGAGAATAAAATATACAAGTTAATAAAATCCTTACGCAGATTAAAATAAGCACCAAAGAAATGACATGAAAAGTTTGACTTAACGATAATGTCTTTTGGATTTAAACATTATTGTAACATCCCAAATTTTTTACTGTTAGTTAAATTTAAATTTAGGACTTAAATGCACTATTATTAAAGTTTACTGACCTTGTTGATTATTGGTCTAGTCTAATGACTTTATTAGTTATTGACCAATAGTTTGAGGGCCTAAGTATAAAGTTATTTTGAAAATTAGATGAAATCATACATAAAACATATGTAAATATGCAAATTGCTCTTAATTAAGAATGATTTATTGACCACATGCATTATTCACACCACATTTCAAGCCAATGTAATTAATTTGACCACGTAAATAAAGAAAATTGATTTAACCACATGTATTATTTACACCAATTTTTAAGCTAAATGAATTGCTTTTGACAACATGATCAAAGCTATTGATTTTACCATTTTCATGACAATACACCATTTAAGCATTGACCATGCTTAACATTTAGCCATTTCCTTTCATTTTTCTACACATCGTAAAAAATCTGCACCATAAATAAGAGACAAAATCAACGCTAAACTACCCATCAACAACTATTTACACACTCTCCCTCTCTACCTCTATAACTTTCTCTCTACTTTCGCTCTTTCTCTTGTCATCTTGATATTAAATACAGTCGTACACTTATACAATTACACGAGAATAATCAACCCCACACGTGGGTCAAGAATCTCTTTCCAACAATAACTCATTTTATCATTTTGAATTGTTCAATGAAAATGTTATTTGTGTTTTATGTTTAGGTGGCTAATGTTTATGAATGTAATATTTCTACGACTATGTTATATTTGGTCCATGTTATGTATGTTTTATTAAGAGTGGACTGGGGTTTAGTAGAGCTACGAACAAGAATTTAGCATCATATAAGTTCGGTCTAATTTTCCTGTCTCTCTATGCAAGTTATGAATTTTTCGTAGAAATACATATATGAATTCATTATTCACGTATGCTTATAGGGAATTATTCTCACCTTATTATGTCTCTACTTTCAAATAATTGACAATTCGAGGCAGTTGGCTGGCAAAAGTTTCAATTATAAAATTATTACATTGTCAAACTATTATTATTTCATTTGATTTTAAATGTCTTAAAATATTTCTTGTTTCAAGTTAATTTATTAAATTCATTATATTATTTATATTTTGGTAAGTGCTTAAATAATTTATATAATTATGTTGAATATTCTTTAAATTAGTTTTAGTTTAGTGACACTCGAATCGTTAAGGATTCGGGTAGTCACAATTTAGTGTTGATAAATGTTTATATTCAAAAATATGTGATAAATTATGTTGTGCTCATTTGTTTATATGTGGATGATATGTTGATTGTGAGAAATCAAATGCAAAGTATAAAAGAAATAAAGAGATTTCTATCTTTCATATTTAAAATAAAAGATCTTTGTTAAATGGATATCATACTAGGTATTAAAGTCACTAAGACTCGTGGGGGTTATATATTAAGCCAATCATATTATGTTGAGAATATGATTAATAAGTTCAAACACTCGAACATTAAAGAGGCTAACACTTTATTCGATCCAAGTCTAAAACTTGAATGATGGAAGAGCTATAGCACAACTTGAGTATGGAAGTGCTATCAGGAGTCTAATGTATGTCGTACAATGTACAAGACCCGACATAGCATTTGCAATTAGTAAACTTAGTCGGTTTACTAGCAATCCAAGTGAAGTATATTATAATGCTGACAAGAGGGTTTTTGGTTATTTGAAGAAAACCAAGGATCTAAGTTTCCAATGTTCTAAATTTTTGGCAATCCTAGAAGGAGTTATTGACGCTAGTTAGATATGTAGTGTTGGTGAGAATAAATCAACTTCAGTATAGGTATTTACCCTTAGAGAACGTGTGATCTCTTGAAAATCCAAGAAGCAAACATTATTACTCACTTAACTATGGAATCCAAATTTGTGGCATTAGCTGAAATAAAAAAAAAAAAAAAAAACAAAAGTTGAATGGCTTAGGAATTTAATGCATGAAATTCCATTGGAAAAAGTGAATAATGTTTCCATATCTATCTTGTGATAGTTAAGCCACTTTAGTTAGAGCATACAATGAAGTGTACAATGGTAAGTATAGATGTATGAGTCCAAGACATGATTATCTGAGGAAACTAATCAAAGATGAAATAATTTCACTCACTTATGCGAAGTCAAATGAAAATTTGACTGATCTGTTCACTAAACTGCCCACAGGGAAATTAGTGCAAACTACAGCTAGCAGGGCGAGGTTAAAACTCTATAATTAAACCCACCAATGATGGCAATCCTACCTGACTATACTAACAAGTATACTTCGAGTTCAAAGGGTAACAACAAATCATTCAATAAGTGGATAGATTCAACACTTATTTATTCTTTTAAATCCTATCCTAGGTTACAAGTGTTGGTTGTCACGAATATGAGGATCGAGGTTTTATAACTCTTAATAAACTTTAGATCGATGGATCAAGTATCTCTAAAAGTAACAAAGATATTACAAGAACTTTACATATATAAACTTTAAGGTGGTACTGCGAGAGTTGAAGTTTCTCTCTTAAGAGTTTATAAATAAGAGAAGCGCAAGGCCATAAGAGCAATAAACAACTTGTTTGAAACTTGGACACTTGATGCTTGTGCATGTGATTTCACCGATATCATCACAAACAACAATACGTTCAAAGCTTTCATGCTACTTAGGATTTCGATGATTACTTTGTGAGATTTATACTAAGTTGAGATTTAAATCAAAAGATATCCATACTCTATGTATAAGTGTCATTAAATTTGACTTTGTACTCATTTTATATTTGAACAAGTAAGAGATTGTTGAATATTGTTCAAATTACAATGATGAGTGATTTTGGAAGTGATGAAAGTGGTCAACCATGTGAAACCAACGAATACAAAATAAGAACAAAAAAGGGTGAAGGCCGAAAAATGGCTTGGGGGCTAGACGATTGCCCAGCCTTGTGTTGCAATTACAGGGGCAAATTTAATGAATTGGGTGGGTAAAAATATATGTCCGTTGGGATTTTGAATTTTTTGGTTTCCTTTATCAAACTTTACACCTTTTTGGCACCTTTCCATCTTGATGATTGATGACCTATAAATAGAGAAAATTTTTATGCTGGAAAATATATCATAAACATTAAACTTATTCACTTATATCCAAAATCAAAGATCGAACCAAATTTTATATATTGCTCTTTAAAGTTCCATTTTCAAGTTTGTTTTGCTTGATTTAATCTTGGATTAAGGTTAGATTACTCCTACAAACCATTTGCCTTTTAAAGTCTTCAACCACTTCTCCCAGTGGCCGCAAATATCGTTTGAAAACATCGATTTATAATCATTTGAAGACATTTTTTAAAGTTTAATGACCAAAATTCAACAATCTCAAAATTTAAAGGCATGATAGGGGCGCTCCTCCAACCACGTTATCAGTTTCATTAGAAGTTTTCAATGGATGTTATACTAGTGATAACATCCAATGTTTTGCGAAGTTTAGCATCTTAAATTTTATTGAACAATTAAAAATATTGACATAAGTTTAGTGGCCATTCAAACAATTAACACCGAAAAGATTCCTTATCTTTTTTCACACAATCAGGTCCTAGTTTGATCGGTGAAAACGCGGAAATGACTATATCTTAATCAGCAATAGCCGTTAAAGAAACCAATAAGCTAACAGTCAATGCAATAAAAGTTGCTTATTTTACACGTTTACACTTGTTCATACGAAACTTCCCAAGTCCGTCGGTCCGCGGCGACGACGACTTTTATTTGTTTGCTGTGGGTTCACACCTTGATCAATAAATTCTTGGATTTTCTTGAAGCTGAGGAAAAGAATAAAAAACATGGGTTCAAGCAGCAGTTTAATGGTTTCCCCATCATCAAGAAAGTCTTCTGGGTTTGGTGGCTCCAGGCTAAACCGCACCAAGCGCAGACTTTCTTTTCTATTTTGTGGTGCAGCCTCCAACGCTGGGTCAAATCTTGAGGTAGTATATATGAACAATCCATAAGATGTTTGTATAAAGTTCTTTGAGAATATTCTCGTGATATGTACTTGTAATTATGATGCTTGTGAATTTTGATGTCCAAGCAAATGGAATTGTTTTGACTTTTATTAGTAAATTTTCAGATTTTTATTTTTATTTTTTATTTTTTGGTGGCATGATTCGGAATGATCGGGTTCTACCGTGAAATTCTGTTGTCATCCACTAGTAAACTTTGGGCAATGATTTTAGTTTATGGCACGATAATTATAGCTCTAAAGTGAAACGATACTGCAATTTTCATCTCAGGAGTGTATTGAACTGTGATCACGTTTTAATTTGATTTGTTATTTGGGACTTAATAAACCTTCTGGTTTTCATGCTATGTAGAATAACATAATGTTTGGCAACATGGAATTAATTCTTTGGAATTAAAATTTCTGATGAATCAATTCAATTATGTATGTAATTATCGTGACATTGGTACACACTATTTGCGTCTGAACTGATCTGGGTTTAGAGTGAGTGGGCAAATAAACTCGTTCAAAAGAAATATGAAGGATAAAATACTTTGAAGGGTAATTCATAAACAGTTCTAAATGTGCAGCCTATTTCCAAGCACACTTATAGTATAAACTTACCTCTTCTTCCCCGTCAATTTACAAAGACTTTTGAAATGAAGCAGTGCACAAAAGATGATCATTTGTACCAAAATATGTTCTCTGGTCAGAAAGGGCAACAAAAAAAAAAAAAAAAAAAAAAAAAAAAAAAAAAAAAAAAAAAAAAAAAAAAAATTAAAAAAAAAAAAAAAGAAGGGAACATTTACAAATATATAATTCCAAGGACCGAATTCCATGCTGCGCAAGGTTGTGGTTGGGATAAACTCTTCAAATTAGAATTTTGGATTCCCTTTTCAATGTTAAGAACTTGGCATAGTTTTGATTGCTGATAATGCTTGATTATTAATTTTGTAAATTTTTTAAACTCAAAAGAAAGTAGAGAGTTGTGCCTGTCTTACTACTTATTGCTTTCAGTTATGAAAATGGTCATCTTATTTAGAGTTGATAATAGTTAAATATGTGAGGACTACGGTATTTTGTAGACATACGCCCAAATGAAACTTTCAAAATTTCAAGCGACAATTTTTAAAGGGACAAAATGCTTTACACAGCATGGTATTAGGTATTGGTCGTTTGTAATCAGATTTTGAAAAATTTTAGTTACCATCTGTGGAAGGATTTGTAAATGTCTTATTACAAAACTTTAAAGTCATAATGAATTAGTATCCTACCTTTGAATTTGACATTTAAGATGCTCTGTTTTGACTGATTCACTGAGGCCCGTACTTAAAAGTAATGGTTGTAATTAACATACTGGAAATTATGGTTGTCAGAAATATTTTACTGAAAACAGAAATTGGGATGCCTTCAATATGAATCAAAAGAAGCATTAAATAAAACTTACTGCAGTTTGTTTTCTCTTATGGTGTTCATGACAGCAATTTAAGTGTACTAGTTCTTCCAAAAGTTTGTATCAATATAACTTGGAGATGATCTAACTTATTGGTAATCATCTTTCTTCAAGAGTTTCCTAAAAAGTGATATTGTTGACGCTATAACATTTTTTATCTGTACTCTATTTCTCTATGTTTACCCAAAATTAAATAATCCTTCACGTCATAGTTCTTATTTGAGATGATCATTGACATATTATAATGCTCTTCCTTGAAGCTAGAAGATTATTCTCAGGAATCATCAGCAAGTTCTACAAAAACATTAGCTCCAATTAGTGATGTTTCGCATAACTCCATCATAGAATCTTCTTCAATTTTCAGTTCAGAATTTGAGGATACAAGTTCCACAGTTGAGACCGGGGAATCATCTGGAAGTGACAACAGTATTGTTGAGGAAGCTTTGGTTGAACAGTTAAATGTAAAAGCAAGCAGAGATCTGGCATGCCTCTTAAATAATAAGGAATCAGTTATCCATCAGGTAGGGTTTTCATTCCAATAGCGAGGATTTATAATGGAATAGAAATCATAATATTGCAAATCATTCCTGTAACAGCCTGGTAGTGATCCATCAAGCAGTCTTGCACATGCGAATTCAGATTCAGATGTTGAATATCACCAAAATGCAGTTGATGACGATAATAACACTAATTTAAGGTCACATTCTATTGCTTCCGATTCTTTACCACCATTTCAATTGCCTGGAGATGAAAGTTCTCACATGACAACAACTTCTAGTCCAGGATATCTTGTTTCTGACAATGCCCGGGATCTCAGAAGTGGATATCTTCTTCATCTCGATGTGGTGAATATCTCTTCTAACTTTCTATCCAGTCGAATTGCAGAAATAAATAGCTTAGAAGCTAGAAGACATAGTAGGAGGCAATTTTGGGATGCTTTATCAAGACGGAGAGACTCCCGGACCATGGTTTTTGCCAGTGGTCATGCTGATCAACTAGGATCCCATGACAGATGGCTTCTAGATATTGGTGGTATCCGCAATGATGAAGTTGGTCATGATGTGGATTCCTTGAGTGTTAGACGTCATCGTAGAAATGAAGGAAGATGGCTATTGAGATCGGAGGTGAGATATGATATGCTTTTTAAGTTCTAATGTTGTTAGAAAATTTTCCAAAACATTCAAACAAGATTTTGTGTTATTTTAATTTTTGGACATATAGTTGTAATGACCCAACCTTTGTATTCAAATTGTTCTCTGACGTACTGCCTGCTTCAAAAAGGCATCTGCCTTCTTACCCCTAACAGCTTTATGTCGCATCCCTCAATATTCGAATCACAAGATTTCTGTCTTATGAGATATTTAAGTTGAATTCTGGTACTAACTAGGCAATTGTCCTCTTACATATCTTCTGTCGCGTCTCCCTGCCTTCTTATCTTTCACGACTTTTTGATACGTCCCCAGGATTCGGACTCAAGATTTAAGCTGAATCATAGTGCCAATTGGTACCAAAATTCAACTTAAGTTTTTCATTAGGCGAAAATCATGGATTTGAATCTTGGATGACGTGATAGAAATCCGTGAGGGATAAGAGGGCAGAAACTCTCCCAAAGTAGGTAATACGTAATGAGTTAACGACTTGGATATTGAGGTTGGGTCGTTACAATAGTCATGTTGATTCTTTACTAACCTTTTGCAGTTTATATTTCCTTGTCTTTAAGGTATACTTATAATTGATATGGTTATTCCCACAGCTGAAGTAGCTGCTCTATGTTTTCGTTTATATATACTCTCTCTCTCTCTCTTTATCTTTGAGGGTGGTGGAGAATAAGGATGGATGTCGGTGCAACTACTTATGTATGACCGTGTATAATAACTTTTGTATCATAGCTAAGCATGCTTAATTAAATTTGGAACATTTCAATATGATTTCACCATGATAATGTGAGAAACAAACTTCATCAGCAAGAAAGACAATGAAATGAAAAAAATAAGTATGCTAGTTAGCATGAAAGTGTTCTTTGATAGAATTCAGTATTTTACATTTTTCATGCATTTAGATGTTCAGCACACGTGAAATCTACATAAAGATGCAAGTCCCTAGGATGAGATGTATGAAATATACAAAATCAATTAATAGAGAGAATTCCTTCTACTTCTAAAACTTTATTTCCAATATCAACTTATTTAAACCAATCGCTAATACAAGTAAGCTAAAAACTTGGGATACTGACGTACTGTTAATAGGAGAGAATAAAATCGTTCACTTTTTCTATTGGAGAGAATACATATATATTTACATTGGAAATTCCATATTAGGAAGGATCCTAATTGGGGATTCCTATAATTAAGGTTATAAAATCCTATCAATTGTACATTCCATAACACTCCCCCTCAAGTTGGAGCGTAGATATTAATCATACCCAGCTTGTTACAAATATAATCAACCCGAATCTCATTTAGAGCCTTTATGAACATATCTCCTAGTTGTTCTCCAGTTTTCATATATCCTGTAGAGATTAAATTCTGCTGCACCTTCTCACGAACGAAATGACGGTCTATCTCAATATGTTTAGTTCGTTCATGAAATACGGGATTAGAAGCAATATGAAGAGAAGCTCGATTGTCACACCAAAACTTTGCTGGTATTGATACCTTAAGACCAACTTCAGTTAAGAGCTAGTATATCCACATTATCTTACACACAGATTGTGCCATAACTCTATATTTTGATTCTGCGTTGGATCAGGATACAACATTTTGCTTTTTATTTTTCCATGAGACTAAATTTCCTCCAACAAAAACACAGTAGCTGTAGTGGATCTTCGGTCAATCTTGGAGCCTGCCCAATTTGCATCTGAGAAGCATTAGATGTGGGTATGTCCATGATTTCTGTACAATATCCCACATCCAGGTGCTCTTTTTAAATAACACAGGATCTGTTCTAAGGCTGCCCAATGGTGAACTGTTGGGGAAGACATGAATTGACTTACAATACTGACAGGATACGCAATATCAGGACGGGTTACTGTAAGATAGTTCAATTTTCCAACAAGTTCTCTGTACTTCTCAGGATCTTCAAATAAGTCACCTTTTTTAGTAAGTTGCAAATTCGAAAGGATTGGAGCGCTGCTTGGCTCAGCTCTCAACTTTCCTGTCTCAGTTAATAAATCAAGCACATAGCACATATTTTCTCTGAGATAAGATGCCTTTCCTGCTTCTTGTCACCTCAACTCCTAAGAAATACTTCAATACCCCTAAGTCTTTCATGTGAAATTGGGTGTGGAGGAAGGACTTCAGAGATGAAATTCCCATAGTATCACTGCCAGTAATAACAATATCATCAACATACACAACAAGGAGAATAATGCCGAATTCAGACTACTTGTAGAAGACTGAATGGTCAGACTAGCTCTTTTGCATTTCAAACTTTTCCACTGCTTGACTGAATTTTCCAAACCACGCACGTGGACTCTGTTTCAAACCATATAAGGATCTTCAAAGATGACACACTTTCCCATACTCCCCCTGAGCAACAAACCCAGGTGGTTGCTCCATACTTCCTCCTGGAGTTCACCATGTAAGAAAGTGTTTTTGATGTCTAATTGATGTAAAGGCCAATTATGTGTAGCTGCCATAGAAATGAACAAGCGAACAGATGTTAATTTAGCTACAGGAGAGAAAGTGTCGGAGTAATCCACACCATAAGTCTGAGCATAGCCTTTAACCAGAAGACGAGCTTTAAGTCTAACCACTGATCCATTAGGATTGACTTTAACTGCAAACATCCACTTACATTTGATAGCCTTTTTTCTTACAGGTAAATTACTAAATCCCAAGTACCATTAGCATCTAAAGCATTAATCTCCTCTACCATAGCATCACACCAACCAATATGGGATAAGGCTTCATGAACAGTTTTCGGTAGATTCATATAGTCTATGGAGGCAACAAAAGAGTAAGAAGGAACGGACAAGTGATCATAAGAAACAAATGATGAAATAGGACAAGTGCATTGACGTTTACCTTTGCGAAGAGCGATAGGTAGATCAAGATCACTGGATGCTGGATCCGATGTTGAAGAAGGGTTAGGTGCCGAACATGCATCAGGAAGGTTTCGACGTCTGGAATACACCTAGCAAATAGGTGGATGTGGTATGGAGCAATAGGTGTAGAAATAACATGAGTTGACTAGTAAGTGACATGATAAACCAATAGATCATTATCCTCTCCCTTACTGACAGAAGTATAAGTCGTGGGAAAAAAAGGAATATGTTCCGAAAAGGTAACATCAACCGACACAAGATATTTGTTAAGACTCGGACAGTAGTATTTGTTCCGAATTCAGACTGCTTGTAGAAGACTGAATGGTCAGACTAGCTCTTTTGCACTTCAAACTTTTCCATTGCTTGACTGAATTTTCCAAACTACGCACGTGGACTCTGTTTCAAACCATATAAGGATCTTCGAAGATGACACACTTTCCCATACTCCCCCTGAGCAACAAACCCAGGTGGTTGCTCTATATAAACTTCCTCCTGGAGATCACCATGTAAGAAAGTGTTTTTGATGTCTAATTGATGTAAAGGCCAATTATGTGTAGCTGCCATAGAAATGAACAAGCGAACAGATGTTAATTTAGCTACAGGAGAGAAAGTGTCGGAGTAATCCACACCATAAGTCTGAGCATAGCCTTTAACCAGAAGACGAGCTTTAAGTCTAGCCACTGATCCATTAGGATTGACTTTAACTGCAAACACCCACTTACATTTGATAGCCTTTTTTCTTACAGGTAAATTACTAAATCCCAAGTACTATTAGCATCTAAAGCATTAATCTCCTCTACCATAGCATCATGCCAACCAATATGGGATAAGGCTTCATGAACAGTTTTCGGTAGAGTCACATAGTCTATGGAGGCAACAAAGAGTAAGAAGGAACGGACAAGTGATCATAAAAAACAAATGATGAAATAGGACAAGTGCATTGACATTTACCTTTGCGAAGAGCCATAGGTAGATCAAGATCACTGGATGCTGGATCCGATATTGAAGAAGGGCTAGGTGCCGAACATGCATCAGGAAGGTTTCGACGTCTGGAATACACCTGGCAAATAGGTGGATGTGGTATGGAGCAATAGGTGTAGAAATAACATGAGTTGATTAGTAAGTGACATGATAAACCAATAGATCATTATCCTCTCCCTTACTGACAGAAGTATAAGTCATGGGAAAAATAGGAATATGTTCCGAAAAGGTAACATCAACTGACACAAGATATTTGTTAAGACTCGGACAGTAGTATCGATAACCCTTTTGAAGGCGAGAGTAACCCAAAAAAAATACATTTTAAAGATTTTGGATCTAACTTAGTTACCTGGGGTCGAACATCACGAGCATAATAATTACTACCAACGATCTTAGGTTCAATAGGAAACAAGGGCTTAGTGGAGAAAATGACACTATAAGGAGTCTTACCATGAAGAATCGAGAGGGCATTCGATTAATCAAAAAACAGGCTGTGGAGACTGCATCAGCCCAAAATTGCGTAGGACATGCATTTGGAACAAGAGTGCCCTGTCTGTCTCAAGAAGGTGTCTATTTTTTTCAGTCACACCATTTTGAGAGAGGGTGTCAACGTATGAGGATTGATGAAGAATATCATTCTGAAGCATAGAAGTCTGAAACGAATTGGAGAAATATTCTTTGGCATTATCACTTCTCAATGTATGTACAGAAGCATGAAATTGTGTTTTAATTTCAGCACAAAAGGCACTAAAATGAGAAAATAATTCAGAGCGATTCTTCATTAAATAAAGCCAAGTCACACGAGAAAAATCGTCAACAAACGTAACAAAATAACGAAATCCAATTTTGGACACAACAGGACAAGGACCCCAAACATCATAATGAACTAACTCAAAAGGAAAATTAGCTCTTTTATTGACTCGAGGAACTAAAGACAGACGATGATGTTTCGTAAACTGACAAGACTCACAATCTAAAGATGACACATTCTGAAGCTGAGGACATAATTTCTTCAACAGAGATAGAGATGGGTGTCCCAAGCGACAATGTGCTGTAAAAGGAGTTAAGACACTTGAAAACGCAATAGACTTGGGCATCTGGGTATCTAGAATATAGAGACCGCTTGATTCATGTCCTTTACCAATAATCTTCCTCGTCATAAGATCCTGAAACAAACAGTAATCAGGAAAAAATGAGACATAGCAGTTTAAGGTCCGAGTAAGTTTGCTTACGGACATCAAATTAAAAGAAAATTGTGGTAGACTCAATACAGAAGATAAGGAAATTAATGGAGTTGGATTAATAATGCCAAAACCAAGAACAGAAGCAGAACCATCAGCTAAAGTAACATTGGAAGGAGATGTATGCGACTGAAAAGTGGAGAAAAGACTAAGATTACCTGTCATTTGATCCATGGCACCAGAATCAATGACCCATTTCGAGGAAGAAGAGAGGAACCTATCTTAGTAATGGTAGAGGTAGGGTTGAGATGAATTCTTCATTGCTTTTTGGTACTGAGTGAACTTGGCAAATTTATCTACAGAAACTGTAATGGTTTGCTCAAACGACGAGATGGGTGCAATAATAGTAGTTGAAACATGAGTTGAATGAGACTTCTGAAATTTATTGTGCAATTTTCGGTACGTGTATTTGGTATGACCCGGCTCGTGACAGTAGTAGCAGACAACCACCCTTTCATTGTGACTTCGATTGAGCCGACAACTTGTACCCCCGCCTCTTGTATTACCTCTACTATTGCGATTGGTAAGAGCACTGGAAGACTAAACTAATGAAGTAGCGGAAGCACTATTAGCTGTGCGAAATACTCTAGTAAAATTTCTTGCAGCAATGGAATCTCGACACTTGAGAGGATTTGAGATTTAGCAGTCTCAAACTGAGAACTAAGACTAGTCAAAAAACTCATAACAACCATTTGCTCCCGTTGAACTTTTTGAACTTTCACATCTGGACTAAAAGGTAACAAGGCATTCAATTCTTCATAGGCTTTTTTGATGTTCATAGAATAAGCTTGAAGAGAGTGATCTTGTTGTTCAGCACGGTAAAAACTTTTACAGACTTCATAAATACGTGACATTTCCTTTCTCAGAGTACATAAATTCTAGATATTCCATTAATTCGTTAACATACTCGCAGTGATTAATCACTTCACCGTCTCTAATCACTTCACCATCTCTGTATCAATGGAACTACGAATTTGTAGGAATAATCTGGCATCATCTCTTAGCCATGTGTGGTGGGTATTATCCGTTGGTGGATCCACAGTAAGATGATTGTCCATAGAAATACTACGCAGATAAATCCGAACTATTTTACACCAATCTAGATAAGTTGTGCCAATCAGCTTATGTTCCGTTATTTTGAACATCATTGGAATGATATCAGTCATAATCAAATTCTTTTGCTTGTCAGCCATAGACACAAACCACATGATCCAAATAGCAAATTGAAGTAGCCAAAAAAGAAGAAAAGTGTCACAAATAACCAAACTCAATCAGTCCAACTGAAAATACAATTTGCCCAAATAAAACCTTTCAACCAACAGCCTAGTTTAAGATAGTAGTTTAAACCACTAAAATAACTTTGACCCAATAAAAGCCCAATAAGTCTAAGATTGGATTTTACCTTTACAGCCCAATTTCTTGTCCAAATCACGTACACTTACAAATCCAATTTCTTCTCCAAAAATGATGCATAGACAACCAATTGGAGAGTGCCGCGCCAAAATCCACGCTCACTGCACCAAAAAATCACAGCAAACCTAACTAGAAATTGTCAACGAGTCTGCCTAAACCACAAACGGAGTCGGCTAAGTGTGAAAACTGGAAGAAATCGAGGGAGTAGAGTCCAAATCATCGACCAAAGACTCGACGGTAAAGACTTTGATCACAGAGAGCAGAATCCAACCAGAAGTCCTGAGATTCACCTTTGACCAGGGTCGCCTGAACGAAAAACACGCACACTGGAGATTGGACTCCGCGTAACGATCGAGAAACAGAGGAGACGGCATCGGAAATACACACAACGGGTATGAATTAGGCCCCTGGCTCTGATACCATGTTAATAGGAGAGAATAAAATCGTTCACTTTTCTATTGGAGAGAATACATATACATCTACATTGGAAGTTCTATATTAGGAAATTGGGGATCCCTATAAATAAGGTTATATAATCCTACTGATTGTAAATTCCATAACACATACAAATGATATAATTATACTATGAAAATAGTAAATCATCATCGATTTATCTTATGAATTTAAAAAATTCTCATTCTGACCTAACTTTTTTTGTCATGCATGTACTCAGTACATCTATTCAGTCACATAAAGTTGAAATCTCCATGTGTCTGCATAGTTAAGTTTTGAAAAAAGAGTACATCTAGTCAGTCTCATAAAATGGAGATCTCCATGTATGTCTGCATAAATACGTGTGGGGTGATCAAGGCCTATCTCCAACCAATCAATTTATCAGTGCATATAGAACTTGTCATTCTCGTTTCCATTCCAACTATTTAAGTCTACTACAATATTTCTCATAATTAACATACCTGTGTTAAGATATTCCACAATGTTCATTCATGCAACTTTGACAATTCAATTACATTTTGTTACACATGTATCAAACTCGTAAAAATTAAATGCAAATGTGTACAGTTCAATTTTTTCTTAGTTTCCACTTTGTTTGAAATTTGATGAGAAATATCTGCGTGTGAATAATGATATGATATCAGACTGCAAGCTTTGGATTTTTTTTTTTTTTTTTTCCTTTGTATAATAAAAAGTTATACAATAGCTTAGCCTTGTATATGTTGTCAATTCATATGTGCATATATGGTTGACATATTGAAGAAAAATATGGTAGTTTTTACTCATGTTTTGAACTTATATGTAGTTGCTTACTATGTGTCCATCTCACAAGCACACTTTTGTTTCCTTGGATGTGATAAATAACTCGTTTAATAAAACAACTTCGAATTTTGGTTGGATTTGACTAGCAAATTAAAATTTTGTGCAAAACCCTATAAAGAATCGGTTTCAATCATATTGGATTTATAGGTAAACTTATTCTTCTATCTTTCTGTCAGCTTAAAGATCTTCTTTTGTGTCTTGTTGGATCTGTGCGTAATAGCAAGGCAAAAGGTGGAAGAGAATTGCCTTTGCAAATATGCTGCAAACACTTTTTTACTTCTGTTGCTGAAAAAATTCTTCAAACTTTTGTGTCATCATCTATTCATTTGATTCCTTTCCAATGTTTATACATGCAGATCTCAGAAAGAATGATAAGCGGCCTTAATGAGGGAGCCCAACAAACTACATTCTGTGCATCTGGGCTACACCATGAGGGCACATGTTCATGTGATTCTACTTTTTCATCTGAAGAATCTAGTACCCTTGCAAGCATCTCTCGAATTATTATGCTTGCTGAGACATTATTTGAGGTAGATCCTTGAGATCCAATGGTTTCAGTCTCAGTTAAATTTTCTCTTGATCAGGTCTAGCTAAATTGTTCGGCTGTATTTAGTTGAAAATGCCATTTGAGTGACATTATGACAATATACCAACTCTTTTTGGGGTGTATCGTGTTCCTTTCCATAAAATTGAACAAGGGAACTATTGTAACCAGCTTGCTTTCCAAGCTATCATATTTGTGGAAATGGTGACCAATCCAAATTAAGTATAGGACCTAATAGTTGAAACTTGCTGAAAAATATAGGATAAGGATGTCTTTATATGACGTTATTTGTAAGGAGTGATCCATAAAATTTATGAGTTCCTAAAATTTAGAGTTATATTTTCAAGAAAGCAATTGGCAGTTTATGATAAGTTCCACTAGTTCTTTTTTGGATAGCACAACCAAGTGTGGAAGGTTAAATGTCATTGTAACTTCTGGAAATATCAACTTCGTATTTGAATAAAATTTAACTCAAAATTATTGAGGTGGCATCTTTGAGAACTTCGTGGGAGCTTTAAATGCAATGTTTAAAGGAAAGTGAGTTGAGCGAGTGTACCTTATAGCATTGAAGTTCCATTACCACGAGTGGCCTAAGATCCACAAAAATAACACTATTGCTATATGGCTACTACAGTTTGATGCTTCTTCAAATTTTTCTTGGATGGTTGCTCACATAGTCGAATACTTATAGGCAGTGAAAATTTATTTGGGGCTACTGGAAGAATTTTTACAATTGTATCGTCAGGTTTTGTCTAGCATAGGCTTATCAAAGAATATTCTAATTATGTACTAATTGTTTTTGAATGTCAAATGCAGTTCTTTCTGAACCTTTTTTTTAACCAGTCATTTGGTTTGTTCCTACTATCTTTGAGATGCCTTTTCTAGTGTATTATACTATACTAGTGAACTGGGGATTTATGAGCTTAAGTCTTAACAATATCATAAATCCTGTGGATAGTTACGCACATGCAACCTTTTTTTTTTTTTTTTTTTTTCATTAATAATAACTTTTGAAATTTTCAGACAAGGTTTCAATAATCAGCTGAGAAGTTACTTTATTATAGGTTTTGGATGAAATTCAGCGCCAATCTCTGTCTCTTTCACCATCAACGCTCTCTCTCCCTGCTCCTGAGTCTGTTGTGGATTCATTTCCTCTCGAGTATTATGAAAAACAAAAAGAAATTGAAAGTGATACGAGTGATGTTCAACAGTAAGTCTTCTGATGTCATTGTATAAAGCATATGTACATGAATTTTCTTTCTTTTCCAAGGCTTATGTTTGATTGTTTATGCAGGTATCTGTTAAAGATTAAGCCCTTGTGTGGATAACTATTTATAAATTGTTTATAATTCGTTAATTAGAACTCACAAGTACTGACAACTTATCCACCATTCATTTATATCTACTTTATAATTAAACCATTTATAAACAACTCTTTGACATGCTTTAAGATTTGCACCTCAATAAGTAAAGGACTGAAATGAAAATGGAAATGAAGAAACAAAATAGGGGAAGCTGTCGTTCGTTTTGTCTGCTTACTTTAAACGCATATGCTGGCTTTTATTTATCTGGATCGTTTAGTATTCCTCGATAAACAAGTCCTGTAGTCATCTAATTTCAAATGAACTCGACTAAGAGTTGCATTATTAGACCCCAAGGCGATCAAGTTTTTCAAATCTGCAGTTTCTCTACATATTGCGTAGTCCCGTTGCATTTCCTTCTGTTAACTAACTTTGGAATAAATCTTTCAAGATATAGATCTTTTCCATTACCTAGTAAGAATGAGTTATAATTTTGATATAAAAGTGCTGATACATTGTAATCTTTTGAATTTGCAGCATCATTCTATGTGCTGATATGTAGTAATGTTTTTGACAGGTGCTATATTTGCCTGGCTGACTACGAAGACAGTGACAAATTAAGAGTTCTTCCCTGCAATCACAAGTACCATGTTGCATGCATTGATAAATGGCTTAAAGAAATCAACCGGTACTTTCAAAATTTATCTTCTCTCTCTTTCTCTTAGATGACGTTGCTTTTCTAAGTCGTCCTGTGCTGTGCTTCGTTAGGGTATGTCCACTCTGCAGACGCAATGTTTGTGCTGATGGTGGGGAATGTTCGGCGTCAATCCCTGAAGTACCATCACAGTAATGCAGCTGTAAATGTATATATAGATGGACAACTTTGAATCTTGACATGTTTATAGAGTTGATATGATCTGAATTTCAGCAACTTTTTATTTGTATGGTATGTCATAAATGTGAATAATTCTTCTAACTTCTGCATCTTCAATCTAGTAATTGGGTTTGAGACTGAAGAAAAAGATGTATTGCAAGTTTAGCATCGTTTAATGGAGTGAAATGTTTCAAAAATCATTTAACTTATATCTTGGTCACGGATTACTCACTGAACTTCAAATTGCTTTAACTTACTCACTGAACTTATACTATTTGTACGCCATCCATCACTCCTTAAAATCTGTTAAATCTTTTGCTGATGTGGAGGACAGTAATCCTGCCGGTGACTAACGGCATGCAACGTCATCCAAAATATTCAACTCACATTTTAAATTATTTTAAAACTAATATATATACACACACACAAATATGAAACCATGTGTTTTGAAGGCTGGGTACGTTTTTCACTTTAATACAAACACGTTTGTCCACATAAAAAAAATAAAATAAAAGATAAAACATTAAAATAAAAAACCATAACCCGACATCAGAACTCCAGATAACAACTTCCAAACCTCCTCCAGTTTTTCCCATATTGTTCAGAACCCTAGTCCCAACACTTCGTCTTCTCCATAAACGGTAAACCCTACACAAAGCCTCATTTAGTTTTATTCTTAGCACATTGATACATTAATGTTAGAGATAGCATGTTGGATATATGGCTGAACAACATACTAAAAGTGTCGTGTATGTTTGTCTGTGATTATGGTGTGGACGGACGGGAAAAATGGTTGGCAAGAAGTGATTTGGGATCCTATTGTCGGGTTGGGGTTTTGCTACACTAACATAAGAGATGATTGAACACACACGAGGATCGGTATTTTTTAACTTACATGGAACCTACACGCAAAATGTGAGGGTCGGTCAACCGTTATGTTAACCCATTCGGTCACTTTAGCTTAATTCATGTTGGGTTATGCGTTTTTGAATTTAATGTTTTATTTTTTAAGTGTAAAAACGTGTTTGCACTAAAGAGAAAAACGTGCCCAGCCTTCAAAAAACACGGTTTCATATTTTTATTTTTTAATTTTTTTTTTGAGTTTTAAAATAATAAATGTGAGTTGGATATTTTGGATGACATGGCACGATATTAGTCGCCACTCAAGATTACCGTCCTTCACGTCAGCAAAAGATTTAACAAATTTTAAGGAGTGATTATGAAGTGCAAATAGTATAAGTTTAGTGAGTAAGTTAAAGCAATTTAAAGATCAGTGAGTAGCCCGTGACCAATGTATAAATTCAATGATTTTTGAAATATTTCATCCTCATTTAATGTATTAATATTACGCCCCTATTTGGTGCAGATTAAAATAGGATATTTAATAGTTCTTGATAAAAATTGATGAACTATTAGTCGCCACTCAAGATTACCGTCCTTCACGTGAGCAAAAGATTTAACAAATTTTAAGGAGTGATTATGAAGTGCAAATAGTATAAGTTTAGTGAGTAAGTTAAAGCAATTTAAAGATCAGTGAGTAGCCCGTGACCAATGTATAAATTCAATGATTTTTGAAATATTTCACCCTCATTTAATGTATTAATATTACGCCCCTATTTGGTGCAGATTAAAATAGGATATTTAATAGTTCTTGATAAAAATTGATGAAATAAATGATTGAAAAAATTGTGAGGACTTTGAAATATGTGTTAAAAATTAATTATTGAATTTAATTTTTGCCGAACAGGGGCTACATTGTAGAAGAAAACTTCAAGTAGTTTACACCTCCAATTGCTGTTGTGTAGAAGAAAACTTCATATTTTTTTATTCAATAAAGATAAAACTTGAGTGTGTGGTGTCTTCTCAATTAATAATGAATTTGTTCTTTTGGAGAATTTCATGTATAATATATACTTAAATAAAAAATATAAGCATCAAACATTTAGCAAGTTAAATTGTCAATCATCAAGTTTTCAAAAGTTCAAACTAACGAACAAAATATAAAAAAATGCTTCTTTGCCAAAAGTTAATAATATCAAGTTTCATCTTCATCCTTCGTCCATTCAATTCCTTTACATGAAACCACCAAACCTACATGCTTCGTTTGAGGGATATGCAGGGCAGCGTTCGAGACTCTTGAGGGTTTAAATTTGAAGTACAAAAATAATGGTTATTGGATTGGCTTCAATTAATGCAAGATAAGATTCATATAAAAATAAAATTATAAATCAAGTTTGGTTTAGTTCTCGGTTCTAGAACTAAAACCAAACTAGAACAGGAACCAAATGGTCCTCAGTACAAAGAACCAAAACCTTTAATTTTTTTTGTGGAACCGAATTGAATCGTTCCATTTGGTTTGGTTTGGTTTGGTCTGGACATTTTGTCCACCCCTATCCACCGGATTATCTCTCCCTTGAATCACCCGTCAAGAAATTCCCTAAACCTAATCACCAATTCGTTCTTCTATAGATCTATCGCCAAAAAATAATATACACCATATCACACTTCCACCATTTGATTTTCATTTTCAATTGATTAGGACTTTATCGCATGTCTGTGCAATTTGTATGTATTTTATATCTAAAATTTAATGAGAATATGTAAGTCTCGCCTCTTTGAACAAAATTTTTTTTACACACACATATATATTCTTCCAAATTAGTCACTAAAGTTTCCTAATGGTTCTAATATATTCACTCTGTAACGTCAAATTCTAAGTTTACACTGTTAACGCCACCAACTGAGGCCACCATAAGCACAACTAAACATGTCTTTAGCTTATATGGAAGAACGAATTTAATATATCGAAAATGGAAGAACACAACAAATTATTAAAAAAAAAAAAGTTCTGTAATTAATTTCCACAAGTCTTCTTTACGACAATAGCACGACCAAAGTGACAATTGACAAAGAAAATATAAAATTTGACATTACTTACAAAAATCTCAGGTGAAAATTAAGTAAAGGGGAAATATACAGAAGCAGAATCCAAATATTTGAAAACACATCAGTATTCTTATGCCCTCTGCTGCAAGGAATACTGGATCCACTGTAACATCCACTCTTTTGTTCTATTCCTTTGCCAAGATCTTCAAGAACAAATGTAGTATTTGTCTGACTATTACTGAACAACACACACCAAATGTAATGCCTTTTATGCTTATGACTGCCAATTATGCCTACTCCGACTTCGGTATGTGTTCGATTTTTCAACAGAGACAGGGTTTTCCGGTCTTGAACGAGCGCGTGTGAGAATGCTTCTTGTGGGTCAAGATACTTGTTTTGACATCCCAAAATGTAGCCAGATATGGTTCCGAAAGTGGGCAGTTCGACACCACAGTTGGGAGCAAATACTTCGGTGAAGTCATCTTCTGATGGTTGACAATGTATAGTATTGTTATCAGTGCAGTTTCCCTTGCATTCCTCAGCGTACTGCAAAGCAATGCAGCCTAGACCTGGACTGTTGCTCAGACGAGGAAGCTTGCTGTCTGTTCGATTCTTGTTAATAATCTCAATTAATTCGTTTGCTGCATTCCCTATTGCATAGATCAAACAGAAACAACACATTTTTAGTTGATGAATTGATTGACTAGCATCAAAGAAGACTATACAGGCATTGAAAGGATCTGTCAGAGGTAGCATTCAACAAAGTGCATGAGTGTGTGAATGTTCATTTTTCTGCAAAGATTTTGTTTCCAAGTCCGTAAAGCATGTGTACTGAAGATGTTCATAGTTTAATGTTTGAAGTTTAGGTTTTATACAAAAACTTTGACTCCAAAAATTATTTCATCTACAGTTTCTAGATATTATTCGTAAATTTTGGCATCGTGTGCTCATCACAATTCAAAATTTTTCTTCGAGCCCATGCCATGCCTCTTCATTTCTGCAGCCATGTTGTGAGCACAGAGCGAACTATTTTTTCAACTTTTCATCAAGAATGCCATGTGCTCACTGCAAGTGGCCACTTGTGCCTATTATTGTAGGTTTTATGTTTTTATTGGAGCTAAACCCTGAAGAAAAAGAAAGGAAAAAAACATCTTAAAAAGAATCACCATTGGAATTTGGAAGATTAGGCTTCAATAAACAGCAATGCTTAAAAAACTCTTATAAAAGGGCAACCTAACAATCTGTTGCTCTATCACAAGTCTATCATAAGATCCTTTGCGTATGTCAACAAAACTGTCATCCCCAGAGGCTCAACAGTAATGCAGCACAAATAACAATCATCAAACTAAAGGTGCCCTTCTTGTGCTGGCGAAAAACGTTTGAATTACTAACTCTGTTGATTTGTAATGGCAAGCACCAATGGCCCTAAAAACGTTTACTTGTTTTTCCTATCTAATGTCACAATGTTTTCCCCTGGATCAGAGATAAGCTTACTATAAAAGGAACAATCAGGGAAACTTGTTAAATCCTACCTTTTGGTTGAATTTATTTACTTCAAGTGTTGCTCATTCACATGACTCAGCAATTGCATCTTTCAGCTAATTTCTTAAAACATTTACGAACACAAACAGCAGTGCTTGAGAAGCATATATCTATTGACAATAAACTAAGCATTATTCACAATAAATTTGGGATCAACTATATGAATCCTTTTTCTACACTTCGTTGAATCTATCATTACATCTACCTAGACATCCAATGAAACCAAATCTTTGCAACCAAAGGAAATCATGTTTTGATCTAACTTTTGCTCTGCTACCTGATACTGTTGGGAATGCACCGCTCTTGCAAATTGGGACTTATTTTAGACTTAAGAATGACATGTCTCAACCACCTAAGTCTACTTATAATTTATCCTCAATCGGTGTCACCTTGAGACTCATGTTGTTGACATGTATTCACATTTCTTGTCAACCCATTATGGTATGATCAAACATCTATCTTAGCATTATTAGCACAACAATCAATACCATAAATCATATCTAATAATATCTTAGAGTGCTTACCCTTCACCATAGAATCTCTAATGGCACTTCAAATTTCATCTCATTCACTCTAGTTCTAGACATTATATCCTCTTCAGGTCCTCATTATTAGTGACCAAATATAAATACCTAAAACACAACATGATGCTCTGACTGATTCCACCGTCATCTTTATTTCACGACTAGGACCAAAAGGATGTTCTATATATATGTCTTAGTTTCAATCTCCCTCATAAAATTAGTAAAAAACTATCCATAGTTAGATGGACAAGACCTGGAGGTGGGGAATTTAAGCTTAAAACGGATGGTTGTAGTAGAGGCAGTTCGGGCTTGGCAAGCAGATTTATGTGCCATTTCTATGGGATTAAGACTATGTTTAACAAAAGGCATAACAACAATATGGATTGAAGTGGATCCTACTACGGCAATATTAATATTCTTTCTTATAGAGGAGAAGCATGGTCCTTGAGCTAGTCAATACTTGGTTGAAAAAATTAAGGACCTTCTTAACAAGTGCAAACCAAACATCACACAATATAAGGGAAGGCAATGGAGCAGCAGATTGGTTGGTTAGAGGGATTTCACACTGATACGATGACAATAATCCAACCCTCTCATCAGTTGCAGGAAAATGGAGTATCAAGATCTCTAATTCAATAACACTTAAATCTATTCTAAATGTCCCAAACTTATCTTGTAATCTACTGTCTATTGGCAAGCTAACTAAAGACTCCACTTGCTCTGCTAAATTTTTTCCATCTCGTTGTGTTTTTAAGGACCTTTCATCGGGAAGACGATTGACAGTGCTACAGAATGTGAGGGGCTGTACTACTTTGAGGAGGTTGATAGGAGTAAACAGCGTCAAATTGCAATTTGTGAGTCTACATTTGTCTCTAGAGATAGTGAAATTCTGTTATGGCATTATAGACAAGGCCATCCCAATTTCCAATATTTAAGATGTGTAATCCCTTCAAGACTTTTGAATAATAATTTAGTTGATTTTCAATGTGAAAGCTGTGAATTTGCGAAACATAAATGTACCTCTTACCCAAACTCGATATACAAACCATCTAAACCTTTCACTATGATTCACAGTAACTTATGGGGACCTTCTTGAACTCCTAATCGCACACACACAAGATGGTTGTCACATTTATAGATGATCACACTCGAGTTTGTTGGGTCTACCTATTAAAAGAAAATTTTGAGGTTCGCTCCATGTTTATCAATTTTCATTCAATGATTCAAACATAATTTCAGACACAAATTCAAATACTTAGAACAGATAACAGTACATAATACTTAATACTACATTAAGAGAGTATTTACAAAAACATGGGATAGTTCACCAAACTTCACGTGTCAATACTCCTCAACAAAATGGAATCGCTGAATGAAAAAATAGGCACCTTCTTGAAGTTGCCCGTGCCTTAATGTTCACTACAAATATGCCAAAACTATTCTAGGGGATGCCATTCTAACGGCCACATATCTAATCAACAGAATGCCCAGTCGTACTCTATCATTTGACTCACCTCTACAAAAACTCCAACATACTTTCCGATCTCCCACCTTAACTCTAACCTATCTTTAAGAGTGTTTGGATGCACAGCCTTTACACATGTTCACTCTCATCTCCGAGGAAAATTAGACCCTCGTGCAATTAAATGTGTATTCATTGGATACTCACCCATTCAAAAAGAGTGTAAATGCTATGATCCTTCCACAAAAAGAGTATTTGTTAGCCTCGATGTAACCTTCTTTGAAAATACACCTTTCTTCAAAAAATCCTCCCTTCGGGAGGAAAATTTGAGTGAAGATCGATCTTTGAAGAAATCTTTAACTTTGATCTCTCTCCTGAACGAACCCGTACTGAACAGGTCATGTCTAATATGCCATGTACAAAAGAAAACTTGAATACAGGGGGAGATGTGGAAAAACAAAGTGACAAGGAGATACTAGTTTACTTTATGAGGCTAAATTCAAAGTATAAAGGAAACCTCACACCTGAAGCACCAAAAGAGTCAGAATCGGTGATCGGACCTAATAAAAGCCGATAAATCTGAATCCCCGGGTGACAACTTACCTATTGCTCTTAGAAAACAAACTCGGTCATATACTTTTCACCCTATCACTAAATTTTTGTCTTATCAAACTCTATTAACGAAGTTTCGTGTTTTTACTGCTAATTTTGATAATACAGAGATCCCAAAAAATATCCAGGAGGCCTTGAAAGTTCCCGAATGAAGAGAAGAATTAATGGAAGAAATGCGGGCTTTAGAAAAAAAATAAAACTTGGGATATGGTGAAGTTACCAAAAAGCAAGAGACTAGTAGGCTGCAAATGGGTGTTTAATGTGAAATACAAAGCTGATGGGATGATAAAACACTACAAAGCTCGTTTGGTAGCTAAAGGGTATACACAGACCCATGGTATTGACTACAGGAAACATTTGCACCAGTGGTAAAATTGAATACGATTCGAGTTCTCCTATCCCTAGCTGCTAATTTGGATTGATCACTCCAACAACTAGATATTAAGAATGCATTTTTGAATGGAGAATTAGAAGAAGTCTTTATGACAGCACCACCAGGATTCGATGAAAGGTATGGAAAAAGATTGGGTATGCAAACTCAAGAAATCTTTATACAATCTTAAGCAATCACCAAGAGCCTAGTTTGATATATTTGCAAAAGGTGTTGAGGAATGAAGGATATCAGCACGGGTAGTCAGATCATACCATGTTTTTTCAACAATCGGTAGAAGGAAGAATAACAATTCTAATTGTATATGTAGACAATATAATCCTCACTAGGGATAATGTAACTGAGATGGACAGACTAAAGGCCTCCAAATTTGAAGAAAAAGATCTAGGACCGATGAGATATTTCTTGGGTATGGAGGTAGCAAGATAAAAAATGGGCATCAGTATTTTACAACGAAAATACATTCTCGACCTTTTAACTGAAACATGCATGCTTGGATGCAAACCAAGCGACATCCCTATAGATGGAGGAAAAAGAAAATAGGACACAGGGAAACTAATTAAAAAGGAGAGATATCAACGATTGGTCGATAAGTTAAACTACTTATCACATACTAAACCCGACATTGCTTTTGCGGTCAGCGTTGTAAGTCAGCATATGCACTCTTCGAAGGAAACACACCTAGAAGCAGTATATAAAATTCTCAGGTATCTAAACGACTCCTCTGGGAAAGGATTGTTATTCAAGAAGAACGAAAAGAGTGATGTAGAAATATTTACAGATGCTAATTGGGCCAGATCAATAGAAGATAGAAGATCAACTTCGGGTTATTGCACCTTTGTATGAGGAAATTTGGTAACTTGGAGAAGTAAAAAATAGAATGTAGTAGCAAGAAGCAGTGTCGAAGCAAAATTCAAAGCAGTTCCCCAAGGAATATGTGAAGAATTACGATTAAAAAAACTTTTGGAGGAATTAAAAATTGGAATGGAACTACCAATGAAACTCTATTGTGATAACAAAGCAACCATCAGCATTTCACTCAACCCAGTCCAACATGATCGAACAAAGCATGTGAAAATTGATAGATATTTCATCAAAGAAAAGGTCGAAGATGGAGTCATTTGTATGGTCTATGTTCCGACTAAAGAACAAACAGCAGATCTCTTCACCAAAGTGTTGTCACATCAAAACTTTCAAGAATTCATCTACAAGTTAATTATGATCAATATCTACGGTCTAACTTGAGGGGAAGTGTAGGAATTTGTAAATTATGAAAAGATATCAAAATCTTTCTTTAATCTTCTTTCCTTAATCTATTTATATTGATATATTGTATTTGATAGGTAGTTATTATTCTCCTAAAGTAGGAGATAGTTTTTTCCTTTTTTAGTTCCATTATTGTACTATATAAGAATGTAAGATGTAGGTTAATAATTGAGAAATACAGAAAACAATTCTGATTTCCATCTGCAGAACTTTTTGTTCTACTAACAATAAAAGAAAACACCGTTACACCCCACCTTCACCCAAATAAAAGTTATTGTATATCCTAATGCCCAGTCCATTCTCAATTAGTATCTCATTAAATAGGACAAATCTAAAGTAATAATACTCGATATTTCAATAGCTTCCATTTCAAGAGTCATAGAGTGAAGTTTTTATGATCCTTTTTTTTTTTTTTTTGGCTATATTTGCATTTTGATTCTAAGCCACTACTTGCCGGATATGTTATCATCTTGATAGCACTCACACGGTTATAAAAATAAAATAAAATAAAATCAAAGATCTTTCTTTGTGAAAGAGATTTCATAAGCTTCAAATTGATAATGGCGACTATTGCACTAAATCCAGGCTATCAAAGATGAATAGAACTCTCAAGACTAGAGAACACGAACAGAAAAGTGCCTGTTTGAAGTTATAGGAAATTGCAATATGCAGGTTGCTTCTTCCACGAGAGTACTAGAAGCCCAAAAGCTTGTGAACAATTTCAACGAACCAGAGAGGGGATAAGGAAAAAGGACAGCTAATCTCCAAAGGGAAAACCAGTTTTTCAAGTTAAATTTGTATTCTTTACGAATTACAACAACCGTCTGTGTATTATTTGTTGCATACGGTTCACAAACAATAAAATTCTGAAAAAGATTAATGCATAGATTGAGTCCTCTTTCCTTTTTCCTTTTTCCTAATCTTTTCAATACCTACTTTCAATCTAGGGATTCCACTGTTCCCTATTCAGCCAGACAACTCCTTCAATCCATCCAATGAAGGGAGTGAAAAGGATCACCTCAAGCTTGAGATCCTTGGTAAATCCATCCTCTGTTATCCTTCAGTTCACATCAACACAGGAACTTGCTCATTCAAGTTCAATATCATCGCACAATTCTTACGGTCCAAAGTTCAATGTTGAGTAGCCATGTCAGTTCATTGCAAGTGGCGTAAGCAGAGGAAACCTATCCAGTAGGGAAAAAAAGAAACTTACCTCACTCCATATGCCTGCTACTGAAAGTATGCTAAAGAGTCCAAAGATAGTGACCTGGGAAACTGCCCCTTCCCTCTCCTATTTACATTATATAATTCAAGCAAGAGGGGAATGTAACTTAGCTCGACAAAGTAACATATTTTTATTACCCACTATAGACTGACCAATGAGGGGCTTCAGAAGAAGAAACTTGAGAAAGGATCCTCACTCCTTTGCTTCAAGGGTTTCAAGGACCAGGAGACAGTCCTCATAATAGGTTCATATCTTCTTCACATAGTTGTAAAACCACTTTTTCCACCCCTTTATTTGGTACATTTCGGAAGGAACCCTTCTTGTCCCAGACCCGTAACATGAACATCATAATTCTGTAATTTTCATAAATGGCATTAATGCCTAGTGCTATTAGTTGTTCAATTAAGTGATATCCTTAAGTTCTGAAAACATAAATTAGCTAACATAGACTGACCTGTTCTGAACCAATCTTTATTTAGTATTACTACCCTATAAACACAAAATTTACTGGCAATTACACACAGAGTAAGGATTACTCAGCACCAACATTTTCCTCTTAAATTGCCAATTTCAACTAAGAAAAAGAATCAAGAAAAAGGGCAGCATTCAGTATGAATGTACAATATCCTCTGTAGATCAAACATTGTCACTTTCAAGCACATCATTGAAAGAAGCACCAAATCTACGCAACCAAATGCCACCGTAACATTTTCAGCAGCTACAGCAATTTATCCAAAAGGAAAAGGGCTAGCAAACCAATCAGAGAAAAATAAATGTGCAAAAACACTAGTTACCATGATTTTTGGAGCAAACAAGAGCCGCCAGTAGAAGACTACAGAGTATAATCCACTGAAGACAGCAAAGTTTCTTGACCACCATTACAGTTAACCAGCCAACACTACAAAGCAGATGCACAAACAAATGTGGGATTCTTAAGTGTAAAAGAAAGCAAAAAGAGGAAAATAACTGATCCCAGAAAAAGTGTTTTCTTCTTTAACAATGGAACATTGTTGGTCAAGTGGGAATACAGTAAATTGGGCTTGAAAAGGAGGGGGGAAAAGGGAAGGTAAGCATGGATACGAAGACATTGAATAAAAGCTTGCTGATATTGAGGAAAAAGCTGAGTTGTGGTCCCAACCAGCAGTTGATTGATTTCTTTTTGTTAAGAAATGGACCGAAGTTTAATAATACAAATCATCAAATTAATCTGGGAATGAATGGAATGTCACCGCGATTTGAGAAACACAGCTCACTTTTTGGGAGAACGAGAAAGGAAATAGTATAGTGTATTATTGATTCGCGACTTTTCTTGGCTATTTTTTTGGGGATTAGTGCTCGAGTATATAACAACAAATTTGATTTTGTATCAATCATCGTCCTAAGATATAGGTCACTTAGCATATAGTTACGTAAAGACTAAAAAGCTATTTGTTTTCCATTTTTCTCCTATTAAAATAAAAAATATGATCGTTATCCATTACATCAAACTATCATATTTGATTTTTATATCTTGTGTGGAATTCGTAACAACTATATTTTTCATTCTCATTTTCACATAAATGAGAAAAAAACGGGGCCTAGATAAGAAATCAAGTAAGGAGAAATTCTCTCTTTCTCACACGATAAGACCGATGTAATAGGAAAACCAAATTTGAGAATCTTAAATAAGGTTCTTTTAAAAAGGGACAAGATAAAACTTCCATGTACAGAATAACAAGAGTATCCAGTAAGGTTTACATTTCACTCCACCCTGTGCTGTAACATAAATGTTAATAAGCCCCTATTTGGTATTGATTTAAATTTAATTTAATCTAAGTCAAAATTAAAGAATCAATATTAACCATATCTTTTATAAGTCTCACAACTTTTCAACCACATTTTAAATACTTATATAAAAATCTACTAAAAATATTATTTTAATTCCCACCAAACAAAATTAAAGAAAATTTTAAATTTCAGTTTTCTATTTTAATTTATATTTTAATACAAAATTAAAATTCATGATTAATGGATTATAACTTATACTTAAATTGGATTTATTTTCATGAATATGGAGTTATATTTGTCCCTATAAAAGGAGTGGTAATTTTATTGTTTGATGCAACATGAGAAAACACAACTTGAGGTACAACTTGAATACTAAAATATTATATCTATATTTCATACTATATTTCTATAGTTTTGACAATTCGATAAATGCTCTTCCTGTGGTCGTGAAGCTCATAGAAGGTAAATCAGTTGAGTCACACAAATTTTATCTTGGAGCCTTGTAGTGGCAAAGTACCCGCACGAAGGAAAGACAATATGACTTTAGGACAACATCCTTGACGTGACTTTCTAAGACTCATTTTTCTAACTC